CAAAACCATTGTTCAGGTCCGCCCTCACCCACACCTTTATCCCATATTTCACTGGCTTCGCAGGCATATACTGTTTAAAGCCTATTCTTCCTCTAAACGCCACCATTGCTTCATCAATTGAAGTGTTCTGATGTGGATTATATCGTTTGGAACAATTCTCAAAAATATGATCTAAAATAGGTCTTACATGATGTAACTTATCATGGTTTATTTCACCTCTGGCGGGGTTGGTTGAATTTTCATTTGTGTGGTATATCAAGGTTATGGACCCTATAGAGGTCATAATTTTTATCCGATTTTAAAAACCGTATTATGTCACCGTTACACCCTAAGGACACCTGAGTTCGAATTTCGTGAACATCGGCCCAAAATTGACAGACAAAATGGCCGCCGTTCGTTCTCAAATAGCGTAAAAATATGGTATATCAAGGTTGTGGACCCTACAGAGGTCACAATTTTTATCCGATTTTGTTGAAACTTGAAATGTAAGTTTATAACCGAAAGATCTTGGTTCCTTTCGATATTCGCGCATATCAGACCGTAGCTTCCTGAATTATGGCCCCTGATTGTACGAAAAATCATGTTTTTAGCTTGTGGACCCTATAGATGTCATAATTTTTATCCGATTTTTAAAAAAACCTATTATTATATCACTGTTACACTATAAGGACGGCTGAGTTCGAATTTCATGAAAATCGACCCAAAACTGACAGACAAAATGGCCGCCCTTCGTTCTCAAATAGCGTAAAAATATGGTATATCAAGTTTGTTGATCCTATGGAGGTTACAATTTTTATCCGATTTTGTTGAAACTTGAAATGTAAGTTTATAACACAAAGATCTTGGTTCCTTTCGATATTTGCGCATATCAAATTGTAATTTCCTGAAATATGGCCCTTGATTGTAGGAAAAATCACTTTCTTTTTAGCTTGTTCTCTATCCATCTCTCGAAAATGTGGGCGTATCCTGCCTGGCAGCTGCTGGTTATCTGATTTTGTTGAAACTTGAAATGTAAGTTTATAACCCAAAGATCTCGGTTCCTTTCAATATTTGCGCATATCGAATTGTAATTTCCTGAATTATGGCCCTTGATTGTAGGAAAAATCACATTTTTAGCTTGTGGACCCTATAGAGGTCTTAATTTTTATACGATTTAAAAAAAACGTTTTAGTACATCACCTTTACACCCTAAGGACAGCTGCGTTCGAATTTCGTGAAAATCGTCCCAAAACTGACAGACAAAATGGCCGCCCCTCGTTCTCAAATAGCGAAAAAATATGGTATATCAAGGTTGTGGACCCTATAGAGGTCACAATTTTTTTCCGATTTTCTTGAAACTTGAAATGTAAGTTTATAACCCAAGGAAATCTTCCTTTCGATATTTGCGCATATCAAATTGTAATTTCCTGAATTATGGCCCTTGATTGTAGGAAAAATCACGTTCTTTTTAGCTTGTTCTCGATCCATCTCTCGAAAATGTGGGCATATCCTGCCAGGCAGCCGCTGGTTGATACATTTGTCAATGGTGGAATACTAATTTTATAGGATAATGGATAGTAAATATACTACATGTATGACCACGGTAAGGTGATCATCTATGGGTGTGCATTTTTTTTTATATTCACCTTTTTTTTATTCGTACTTCATATGTAAATAATCGTAATCAAAATGAACCGATCGGATAAATGGCTCACGCGGGAAATTAAAAGGTTCATCTAATAGTTCAACGCCGTAGATAACTTAATCGTGTGTTGATTTCATCTATCTTGGGAAAGTAAACTGCTCGTCAAATAAGTAAACGTCTTAGATAAATAAAACGTGTGTTGATTTTTTAACGCATCTTGGGGAAAGTGAAGGGCTCGTCTAATAAATAAACGCCATAAAGAAGTGAACGGGTTGTCCGTTTATAAACGCCTCTCGGAGAAACTACACCCGTTACCATTAAACTTAGCCATAGTACTAACTAAACCATTTTTATACGCCCACATCCGTCCGTCCATCGACCACAATTTCTTGTGAACACTCTACAGACTACATTTATCATCTGATTGTTTTGAAATTGATATATGTTGTTTGCATTAGTGAGATGATGAAGCCTCTTTAATTTCAATAACTTCCGTTAATTTCTTCTGGAGTTATGGCCCTTGTTTCACATTGTTGCACCTTGTGAACGCTCTAACGACAAGTTATCAACTGATCTGTATGAAATTTATATGTATCATTTAAATTAGTAAAACAAAGAAGCCTATTGAATTTCAGCAATTTCCATTAATTACATCTAGAGTTATGGCCCTTGTTTCACTTTGTTGAATGTTGTGAATGCTCTAATGACAACAGTTATCATCCGATCTGTTTGTAATTGATATGCATCATTTAAATTAGTGCAACGAAGAAGCGTATTAAATTTCAGCAATTTCCGTTAATTACGCCGTGAGTTATGGCCCTTGTTTCACTTTGTTGTACCTTGTGAATGCTCTAACGACAAAAGTTACTATCCTATCTGTATGAAATTTATATGCATCATTTAAATTAGTAAAACAGAGAAGCCTATTGAATTTTAGCGATTTCCGTAAATTACATCTAGAGTTATGGGCTATGGCCCTTGTTTAACTTTGTTGAATCTTGTGAACGTTTGAACTACAAAAGTTATGACCTTATCTGTATGAAATTCATATGCATCATTTAAATTAGTGAAATGAAGAAGTCTATTGAATGTCAGCAATTTCCGTCAATTACTTCTAGAGTTATGGCCCTTGTTTTACTTTGTTGAACCTTGTGAACGTTCGAACGACAAAAGTTATCATCTGATATGTATGAAATTTATATGCATTATTTGAATTAGTAAAACGAAAAAGCCTGTCGAATTTCAACAATTTTTGTAGATTACTTCCAGAGTTACTGCCCTTGTTTTAGTTTTTAGAACCTTGTGAACCCTCAAACGACGAAAATTATAATGTCATCTGTATGAAATTGTCTATTAAATTCCCCTAATTACTTACAAAAGAATAAATATGCGACAACCCTTGTCGACTGCTCGGATGCTTTAGCTGCTGTGGGCGTATGTTTTGTTGCCTGGCAACCTATCTTTGTAATTCTTAAACGATTTTTATCAATTATCGAACGATGTTTTGGAAGTAAACTATATGCATACTTTCCAGCGCTATAAACCCCGTTCTAAACGATACCATTCTTCTAGTGCAATCTGATTGGTTTTTCCTTTGGGGCACGATAACTTTGGTTATAATGAAGTGAGAGTCATGAAACTCTGAATATAGATTCATTATATCATTACCTTGACTAAGTTTGATGGTGAGAATTTTCTGCTTAGGCTAAGGAGCGATAAGCAATTTGATTGGTCCTACTGTTCTGCTCCTATACTGGGCTAATGAAGACGGGCATACGCCATACAGTGTGCTATGAGGGAAATTTTGCCCGGGCAGCGGCACCATCGCCTACTCTTACATCGAACACTCTTACATCGAACTCCAACTGCCAAGGGATCTTTTACGTGCATTCGAATGTTTACACAGGACCTCGGTTTTTCGTCTCATCCAAAGGACTAGACATCTGTCCTTGTCAGGCCCTCCGTCCTGCATCACTGACAAGGGGAAACCACGTCGGAAAATTGAGATGAACTTTCTCGGCCATTGCAGGGATCGAACACCCGACCTCCAGGCTAGCGAGCCAGCGCCTTACCCACCTAGCCACCGTAGCTCCGTTTTAACTGAGGTAGAATGTTTAAACTTGATGTAGGTGAATGTCTTGACTGAGTTCAATGATTAACATTTCGAGCTAAAGCTAAGCAGAGCTAATCAATTTCTTTGGTCGATGCTTTGAGACAAGATAATTTTGATTCTCTTTGCAGATAGAGAGTGATGTAACTTAGTGTATAGTTTGATTGCTCAATACAGTAGAATCTGTATGAGCAGCCACTCCTATTCAGCGACATCTCCTTGTAAGCGGTCACGATAAATTCCCCCCGTAGAAATTCTGTTGTTTCATCTCTTTATTCAACGGTCACTCCTCTAACGCGGCCAGCGGTCACTATTTTACTAATAAATTCAACAAAACATCGCCCATTCAACGGCCATTGTTGAATGATACCATTTTGTCGTTCTTTGTAACACCCCCGCTAATCCCGTGAGAAGTAGTTAATTAACTGGACCCCCACTGATCAGGTAAAAAGAAATGTAAAAATAACAATCAACCCGGGATTATCTGTTAATTAATCTTTTGTTTTATTAAACGACTAACCTGATCATTGTTTTCACGCGTAACAACACATTATTTGATGCTGATTGAATAAAATAAAAGTACCGAGTTTTGTCACGATCATCTAGTATCTCTCTTAGCGCCTCCTATAATATTAGATACAGAGTTACACCCCCTGTAAATAGGTGATAAAATTAGCGATGTTTGTTTGTTCATGTGCTTTTATGATAAAATAAAATGAATTCATCGATTTTCTTCACAAAAATGGATAAATATTATCGAATGCATCACAGTAGTATCGAAGGTTGGTACAAAATGACAAGTTTACAGAAGTTATGTCCGAGATTTGAGTAAAGAATTTTCGTTCGGCGCAAGAATCAGCGACGGTCAAATTTACCGCTTCCAATGCATTCAAGCGTAATATTTAATTTATGTCGGCACAAAAAGCACCAAGATTTTATTAAGAGGCCACTCCCGTTAAGTTATGTCCGAGATTTGAGTAAAGAATTTTCGTTCGGCGCAAGATTCAGCGACAGACAAATTTACCGCTTCCAATGCATCCAAGCGTAATATTTAATTTATGTCAGCACAAAAAGCAACGAGATTTTATTAAGAGGCCACTCCCGTTAAGCGGTCAGTTGTGAAAATTCCCTTGGGTGGCTGCTTAATGCAGATTCTACTGTACTTTTGAAAAAAATATATGTGCAATTAATTAATATTTGTCATCTATTTATTTTGGGATTTCGGCGGGGGACATCGGCCTCACTGTTGGCTTGTTAAAATTACAGATTATTGCACTGGAAGGATTGAATAGCTCTGGACAAAAGTTTGTCGCACAGAAAAAGTTGCAGGTAAGGGCTATGAAGTATTTATTTTCTTAATGTTTCAAAAGATAGCTTCGCTATGTGGGGTAGAAATACTACCTCACAGAGGCTATGTATCGAAAAAAAAAAGATAGCCATTGACGGCAGCTTATCCGAAAGGAACACTTGTATGTTGACAAAAATTGACAATGATTCTTTATTCCTTCAAGAAGTCTAATTTCTCCTGCTCACAGGCTTTTCCTGACACGTGAAATGCTGAAAATTGACAATGCTTCAAACCAAATATAAAAAGTGTTCATCCTAATGCTTCATGCCCATTTATTACATTGACAGTGTTTTCGTTAAAGGGTGGGCAACTCTTGGAACGCTGAATATCAATATAGTCTGGAGGCTCAGTGCGAGGGGTGTCCATCAAATATGGGCACAAAACCAGACCGAACTTTTATAGAGTAAAATTTTGCGTAGATATTTAGGGTCAAGGGTCAAATGGGTTCATTTGCACTGAAAGTCAATGCGCAGCCATTCTTGTATCATGAAAATAAGCTGAAAATAATAGAAAGTAATCACCCTTTCAATAAAAATGTAAACTTGCTAAATTCACCTTTAGTCTTAGTGACCCCAAAGGTCATAAGGTGAAATTTTCCGTTTTAGCACTAGGAAGATGTAAAGCAATAAAATGTCAGCGTAAAATATAAAGATAGGTTGACAGGCAATGAAACATACACCCACAGCAGCTAAAATTGTCCGGGCAGTCAACAAGAGTTGTCGCATAGAATTTGTTTGGTTTTTATAAAGTTCTGCCCCATGCTAACATTTATTATCCGAAACATTTAATATCATGGATTTAGCTGTTCAAGTGATCAAAAGACTTTAAACTCTGTGTATCAATCTGAAGTCAATCTGATGATAACTTTAGCCTATAGAGTGTCACAAGATTTTTTGAAGTGATCAAGGGCCATAACTCTAGAAAATCAATAGGATTCTTCGTCTCATTACCTTAAACACTGTGTATAAATTTAAAATCAATCGGATACTAACTTTTGCCTCTGGAGCTTCCACAAGATTTTGTGCCCATTTGATGGACACCCCCGCGCACTGACCCTCCGGTCTAATAGGTTTTGTCCCTTTTGGACCCCAATGCTTCACACCAAATTTGGTTAAAAACCATTACGAACTAGCCAATGGCAGGAGTGGGGCAACGCGGGTAGGGAAGGTTGCAGAATATCGAGATGGTTTGGCCTCTCATAACCCCAGTGCTTCACACTAACTATAAAAATATGATGTATCTATCACAAAGTTAAGAAGATCAATAATGAAATAAAATTCAAACTAAGGAATATAAATATTAAAATAAAACCTTTTCCTATCTGTTTATACAACAATATCAAGATTGTATTACAATTTTACATACACATTATATTATATTTTGAATTTTCTTTTGTATTTTTAATCAAGAATGTTAGACTTCCTTTACCAGTTGCTGAAGTAGAGGGTGGTGAGTTTGATCAATTAAATATTTATAAGATTAACATAATTCTAGTTTAGTTCAATTGAAGCCGTGGACTATTAAAATGAGTTTGTCTGTCCATACAGCCATCACACTGTTTGGCACACAATAACTATGCTTCTAATTGAGCTAGAATGTTCATTAGGTGAATGCCTTGATGGAGTTCATGCTGAGCAATTTCTGCTAAGGCAAAGCAGACATAAGCAAGTTGATAGGTCAGTGCTTTGGAACAGGATAACTTTGATTCTAATTAAGTAAGAGTGAAGGGACTGAAGAAACTTGTATAGTTTCATTACATCAATACTTTAAATAAGTTAAATGATGATCAATTGATTGGTCGAGGCTTTGGAACACAATTTCTCTCCCTGGTTATAGTTGGTTTATAGTTTCATTACTCCAATACCTTGACTGATATAAGTTTAATATAAGCATTTTCTGCTCAGGTTAATCGTTTGGTTGAAATATTAACCTTGGTTTTTATACGCCCACATTTTCATGTGGACGTATATTGTCGTCGCCCCTGTCCGTCCGTCAGTCCACAATTTGTTTGTGGACACTCTACAGGTCACAATTTTTATCAGTTTTCAACGAAACTTGAAATATAGCTTTATCTCCCTAAGATCTCGGTTCCTTTCGATATTGGCATGTATCCGACCATAACTTCATGGATTATGGCCCCTGATTGTACGAAAAATGCATGTTTTTAGCTTGTCACAATTTTTATCTGATTTAAAAAAAATGTTTAAATATATCACCATTACACACTAAGATCATGGATCCTTTTGATAATCGCGGATACCCGAACTTAACTTCCTGGATTATGGCCCCTTATTGTTTGAAAAATGACATTTTTAGCTTGCGGATTCTCTAGAGATCACAAATTTTTTTCCGATTTTAAATATTTCACCATTCCACCATAGATCTTGGTTCCTTTCGATATTCGCGCATATCGGATAGTAACTTCCTGAATTATGGCCCCTGATTGTAGGTCCTACAATTATTATCCGATTTAAAAAAAAAACGTTCAAATATATCACTGTTACGCCATAATTTTGGTTGAGTTCGAATCTTGAGAAAATCTGACCAAAACTGTCGGACAAAATGGCCGCCCCTCGTACGCAAATAGTGTAAACATCTGGTATATCAAGGTTGTGGACCTCCCAGAGGTCCAAATTTTGATCCGATTTTGATGAAACTTGAAATGCATGTTTGTAACCCAAAGGTATTCGTTCATTTTGATATTCCTGAATTATAGCCCCGGATTGTACGAAAAATCGCATTTTGAGCTTGTGGTCCCTATAAAGGTTACAATTTTTATCCGATTAAAAAATATGTGTGAATATATCATAGTTATACACTAATGAAGGTTGAGTTTGAATTTCGTGAAAATCAGAAAAAACTGACGGACATAATGTATATAAAGGTTGTGGGTCCTCTAGAGGCCACAGTTTTGATCCGATTTGGATGAAACTTTAAATATATGTTTTTATCATAAAGATTATGCCGTCGCCCCTGTCCGTCCGTCCGTCCGTCCACAATTGTTTGTGGACTCTCTACAGGTCAGAATTCTTATCCGATTTCGACAAAACTTGAAATATAGGTTTATCCCCAAAAGATCTCGGCTGCTTTCGATATTGGCATGTATCGGATCGAAACTTCATGGATTATGGCCCCTGTTTGTACGAAAAATCACGTTTTTAGCTTGTGGACCCTATAGAGGTCACAATTTTTATTCGATTTTGTTGAAACTTGAAATGTAAGTTTATAACCCAAAGATCTCAGTTCTTTTCGATATTTGCGCATATCGGACAGTAACTTCCTGAATTATGGCCCCTGATTGTACGAAAAATCACGTTTTTAGCTTGTGGACCCTATAGAAGTCATAATTTTTATCCGATTTAAAAAAACGTTCTCTTATATCACCGTTACACCCTAAGGATGACTGAGTTCGAATTTCGTGAACATCGTCCCAAAATTGATAGACAAAATGGGCCGCTGTTTGTTCACAAATAGCGTAAAAAATATGGTATATCAAGGTTGTGGATCCTATAGAGGTCACAATTTTTATCCGATTTTATTGAAACTTGAAATGTAAGTTTATAACCGAAAGATCTCGGTTCCTTTTGATATTCGCGCATATCGGACTGTAGCTACCTGAATTATGGCCCCTGATTGTACGAAAAATCAAGTTTTTTAGCTTGTGGACCCTATAGATGTCATAATTTTTATCCGATTTTTAAAAAAACCTATTATTATATCACTGTTACACTATAAGGACGGCCCAAAACTGACTGACAAAATGGCCGCCCTTCGTTCTCAAATAGCGTAAAAATATGGTTGTGGATCCTATGGAGGTCACAATTTTTATCCGATTTTGTTGAAACTTGAAATGTAAGTTTATAACACAAAGATCTTGGTTCCTTTCGATATTTGCGCATATCGAATTGTAATTTCCTGAAATATGGCCCTTGATTGTAGGAAAAATCACTTTCTTTTCAGCTTGTTCTCTATCTATCTCTCGAAAATGTGGGCGTATCCTGCCTGGCAGCCGCTGGTTATCCGATTTTATTGAAATTTGAAATGTAAGTTTATAACCCAGAGATCTCGATTCCTTTCGATATTTGCGCATATCGAATTGTAATTTTCGTAATTATGGCCCTTGATTGTAGGAAAAATCACTTCTGTTTTAGCTTGTTCTCTATCCATCTCTCGAAAATGTGGGAGTATCCTGCCTGGCAGCCACTGGTTATTTATTTTGTGACAATCGGCCCAAAACTGACAGACAAAATGGCCGCCCCTCGTTCTCAAATAATGTAAAAATAAGGTATATCAAGGTTGTGGACCCTATAGAGGACACAATTTTTATCCGATTTTGTTGAAACTTAAAATGTAAGTTTATAACCGAAAGATCTTGGTTCCTTTCGATATTTGTGCATATTGAATTGTAATTTCCTGAATTATGGCCCTTGATTGTAGGAAAAATCACTTTCTTTTTAGTTTGTTCTCTATCCATCTCTCGAAAATGTGGGCGTATCCTCCCTCGCAGCTGCTGGTTAAAAATCGTTTAGATATATCACCATTCCACCCTAATTTTTAAACAAAGATTTGATATTGAATGAATGTGGAATAAATTAGGGCTAAATACACAAGATTAAATAATACCCGGTTTACAGTGTAATTTTTGACTGGACTGGTGAAGACAGGCATATTCCATACTGTGTGCTATGAAGGAAATTTTGCCCGGGCAGCAGCACTACAGTGTACTTTTATATCAAATTCCAACTGCCAGGGTATCTTGCGTACACGCAGTCCCCGTTTGTACATGACAAGGAGTAGGGTCGCCTGTCCAACCTCGTGGGTTTCCTCCGTGTCCTCCGGTTTCCTCCCACTGCTAAAGAAATAAAATTAAACCATATGTTAGTCCCGAAATGACCTAGTTTGTGTAGAGTGGACGTTAAACCCCATCTCTCTCTCTCTCACGTACATGCCAATGTAAACTTTCTCGGCCAACACTGGGATCGAACCTGCGACCTCCAGGCTACAGAGCCAGCGTCTTACTTACTTCGCCACCATGGCTCCCAATTTCAGTAAGAGGCATCACTGTTGTCTTGTTTTATTTGATGTGACTATTATTATATTACATTGTTATAAGGGTTGTGTTATGTTCCATTTGCAGGTCAACATATAAATATTGTAGTTGCTGCTGGTCCTTTCACTACTTCGCATACATTAGCCTATGAGCCTTTAGCAGATCTGCTTAAATTACTTCAAAATGATCAACCAAATGTCCTTATTATAGTAAGTATATTTTTTTCTCGTGCAGCATTATAAAATATCTGCTCGTAATAGTATACAACACATCTGATTCCCTCCATTTACTATAAAATATCTACTTCTGTACTTATATACAATACATATTGTATAATTCCCTCTATTATGAAATATCTGCTAGTAATGCATATTATATGAGAAGGGGTCTTTAGCACTGGGAGGCAACTGAAGGACCCAGAGAAATCCCATGAGGTTGGGCAGTTTACACTACTTGCTTGGGATCAAAACCATGTAACTTGACTTAATCAATGACAGGCCTCATGAACTAAAAAGTACTCATGCCAGACCACCCAACTACTCAACCCCCTTGCACATTAAGCCAGGGCTAGAAATTCATGCTAATCTCTGAATCGAATTCGCGCAAGGATTTAGCCGATTGATGGTATCATAAATCAATCCACTTTTTATACGCCCACATTTTCATGTGGACGTATATTGTCGTCGCCCCTGTCCGTCCGTCCACAATTGTTTGTGGACACTCTACAGGTCACAATTCTTATCCGATTTTGACAAAACTTGAAATATAGGTTTATCTCCAAAAGATCTTGGCTCCTTTTGATATTGGCATGTATCAGATTGAAACTTCATGGTGGCTCCTGTTTGTACGAAAAATCACGTTTTTAGCTTGTGGACCCTATAGAGGTCACAATTTTTATACACCAACATTTTCATGTGGACGTATATTGTCGTCGCCCCTCTCCGTCCGGATGTCAGTCCACAATTTGTTTGTGGACACTCTACAGTTCACAATTCTAATTCGATTTTGACGAGAAACTTAGCAGTCACAATTTTTATCCGATTTTGTTGAAACTTGAAATGTATGTTTATAACCCAAAGATCTCGTTTCCTTTCGATATTCACGCATATCGGACCGTAACTTCTGAATTATGGCCCCTGATTGTTCGAAAAATCGCGTTTTCAGCTTGTGGACCCTATAGAGGTCATAATTTTTATCCGATTTAAAAAGACGTTTTATTATATCACCGTTACACCATAAGGACGGCTGAGTTCGAATTTCGTGAAAAATGACCCAAAACTGACAGACAAAATGGCCGCACTTCGTTCTCAAATAACGTAAAAATATGGTATATCAAGGTTGTGTACCCTATAGAAGTCACAATTTTTATCCGATTTTGTTGAAACTTGAAATGTAAGTTTATAAATGAAAGATCTCAATTCTTTTCGATATTTGCGCATATAGAATTGTAATTTCCTGAATTATGGCCCTTGATTGTAGGAAAAATCACTTTCTTCTTAGCTTGTTCTCTATCTATCTCTCGAAAATGTGGGCGTATCCTGCCTGGCAGCCGCTGGTTTTATTATACGCCCACATTTTCATGTGGATGTATTATGCCATCGCCCCTGTCCGGACGTCCGTCCACAATTGTTTGTGGACTCTCTACAGGTCACAATTCTTATTCGATTGTGACGAAACTTGAAATATAGGTTTATCCCCAAAAGATCTCGGCTACTTTCGATATTGGCATGTATCGGATCGAAACTTCATGGATTATGGCCCCTGATTGTACGAAAAATCACGTTTTTAGCTTGTGGACCCTATAGAGGTCACAATTTTTATCCGATTTTGTTGAAACTTGAAATGTAGGTTTATAACCCAAAGATCTCGGTTCCTTTCGATATTCGCGCATATTGGATTGTAACTTCCTGAATTATGGCCCTGATTGTACGAAAAATCGCGTTTTTAGCTTGTGGACCCTATAGAGGTCATAATTTTTATCCGATTTAAAAAAAACGTATTATTATATCACTGTTACACCCTAAGGAAGGCTAAGTTCGAATTTCGTGAAAATCGGCCCAAAATTGACAGACAAAATGTCCGCCTTTCGTTCTCAAATAGCGTAAAAATATGGTATATCAAGGTTGTGGACCTTATAGAGGTCACAATTTTTATCGATATTCGCGCATATCGAATTGTAATTTCCTGAATTATGGCCCTTGATTGTAGGAAAAATCACTTCCTTGTTAGCTTGTTCTCTATCCATCTCTCGAAAATGTGGGCGTATCCTGCCTGGCAGCCGCTGGTTTGCTAATTTTGTGAAAAGATCCGTATTTCGCCATTGATACGTGCATAATTTGCGACAATAACCTAAATAATGGTGGGAATGTTGTCAAGCTCACCACCAAGGGATCGAATGTAATCAATCAGGCTGCTCAGCTTCACCGGTTGGACATTTCAGTCACCCCTCCTAATGCTCATGTGCATGTACAGTGCAGATAGAATTTAACTCACCAGATTGAATTCCAGTCCAGTCAGTGTTACAAAAACAAACTAGGTCACAGCCCGCTTATTTTTAGTTCTCTAAGACACCAGAACTCACGTCAAACCCGCTTATTCGGTATCAAAGCAGTTTGTCCGGTTGTCAAACCTCAATATTTCGAGTGAATCTGGAAATTGTCTATAAAGTTTCTTTAGGATTGATTTTAGTAGTGGTGTCCTCTTTCAGAATCTGCCTGGTGAATTCCGATCACCCTTGAGCGTTTTGCGAAATTCAAGATGGCGTCCAAGACGACCGCCATTTCAAATACCCCCCCCCCCCCCCCAACTCCCATAGTATTTATTCTAGGACGATAATTTTTAGGTCTAAACGTTTGTTACTCGGGTCAAGTAATACACTGAAATCATTCATTATGTTGTGGGGTGAAAAGATGATAGTAAAATCTAAAATGCCAGACAATATGGGCTATTATTTCACCAAACCAAACTATATCTAGAGACAAACTACATATTTCTGGAAAAAGGGGGACTCAAGCTGTTTTGTGAACATTTAAACAAACAAATTCTACCCACAAAACACGAAAATAACCCCCACAAAACTAGGCAATATTCAGTTTAATCCTTTGGTCGTATTTCTGGCTGCAACCTAAGACAGTACAAGTACAAAATACTGTACATTCTAAGCCATCCGTAGTGCATCTACAAGCAAGCGTACTGCATGATGTGTCATTCTTGTATCCGCATCTGATGTGACACATGACGGACCCCGGAGCAAGTTGGCAGGTTGTAGTTTTATTAATTAAGTATCCTTCACCCAGCAATGGCTTGTTGATGAGCTCTTTTTACGTTCCCTGTAAATGCATCATTCATTGAGCAAGACTACCATGTTTGAGTGGAGATGATTACTTTTAGATGTCCATACCCACTAACGTGATTCTTGTCAACTTGTTATGGACAGAGCTCCTTGCAAATCCACGCCTGAAACGAAATGAAATGAAATGGAGTTTAACGTCCTACTGTTCTGCTCCTAACCTGGGCTGATGAAGACGCTGGAGGGTATAGGCATCCGAAACTGAAAATATATCGTCATCATCCACATTTAAACCATGTAGTCTTGCTCCAACGAATGATGCATTCGTATGGAAAGTAAAACGATGTCACCTTCATGCTATTGTGTGGCGTTCACTGGAAGATCGCAATCCACCAGAACTTGATCCAGAACTGTATTGTTGGGTTATGGAGACTAAATTGAGAACATTACAATCCGTCAAATTGCTCCTGTGGCTCATCAAATGCGGATACACGAGTGACACCCAAATAGTACGCTTGCTTGTAGCTGCACTGGGGGGGGGGGGGCTTAGAATGTATAGTATTTTGCAGCTGTGAACTCGCAGGTTGCAACCAGACACGCGACTAAAGGATTAAACTGAATATTACCTAGTTTTGTGGGAGTATTTTTGTATTTTGCGCGTAGAATTTGCTTTTTAAATGATCAAAACACAGATTCTGCCATTCTTTTCAGGGCCGTCCCATGTGGCCCTGGACCCCCTGTTAGGCATGTATGTAGTGTTATCGTATCAATCATATGCTTCCACTATACGACTGGTACAGTGGAATCTCGGGTAAATAGCGTTATTATCTAATCTATGTAGAATTATTCATAAATATCATTGAATTCGGCCTAATAGCATTCAATTTGTCCTTGTATACAACTTAAATCTCAACGTGCAATTTTGATTACCAATCGTTAATTGACTAGTGTTTAGTTTGTCGACACGTGTGTAATTATAAGCGTCCCGCTTAATTTTGACGACTGTTCAATAATTAGTTGGACCGTTCAATTTCCCGAGTTGTGATTAAAATTAGTCAAGGTGTCCAATTACGCCAGGTATTCAATTCTGTTGCCGAACATCCAATTTCACATGCGTTGTTCAGATTTTAACGAAATGTTTATATTGAAGGAGTTGTAATATAGTAATGCTGCCGTGAAAACGTGTACATATATAATGTACAGGCTGGTTTGAATAACAACAAAATGAGTTCGGTAATCTCGGGAAAACATTTACCGGCATTCTGTATCGGTTAGGATTTTTTTCTAACGCACTGTACATGCATATAACGTCGGCCAAAATGTATGCAACAATGAACAACTTACAATTTTTTTTACAACGTATCATTACATCTTCGTCTATAAGTATAACTTAGATGTAATCCATCAATTATTGGCTGCTATAAAAATCCAAGCTTCAGTTAATCTAAATCAATCATTCATAGAGCACTCGATCCACTCCACGGGGCGCTTAACGGTAAGTCACATGGTCAGAAATGCGCCAATATTGGGACTATTTTCTTAGTATGTCTGTGTTAATCGGCGACAAATCTCCGCTATGACAATATACATCTACTTTAAATGTCGCCCAATTCATTTCGGTGGAAGCGGATATTGAATAAAGCCATTTCACACACATGTACATTACATGCGCATGTCATATATTTATACAATGTCCACGAGTGTGTTGGCCTACATGTAATTCTCGCCTTCACTCCGTTATAATTTTCTTATTTTGAGTACAATTTCTGAATGATTCCATTCTTTTGTACGTCCAACTTCCCGAATTCCTACTGCATATACACGTACCCTGTGTAACTGCAATCTATAAGTTTATACATATATGTTTACGTTTAAAATCTAGATATCAGAAGCTCGAAAGTTATACTAGACGGTGAACAC